CGATTAATGATCAACAACATAAACTGCTTTTCATGAACACACAAGAAGGTAAAAATATAAACCCCTCCACACAGTCACCGGATGACGTTCCAGCTGTACAGCTGTAGGCATGCGCGGACTGATCCCTGACCCGGCGGCTGTTCCCTGAACAGGAAGGGAAAAGCACGGGAACTATGTTGGGAAACACGGCGCATACTCTTTGGCTCGTTGGAGCTCCTTCCACTGAAAACGTATTCTCATGTGTGCGAGTACAACCGGAGGCGTTTTGGTTGCCGTTTGTGGGAAGCAAACAGAGAGGGAACGTCGTCCATGTAATTGTTGTTCAACGGGAAACCCTGAACGCAACACACACATTTTAACACCGTGTGTGTGTGTGTGTGTGTGCGCTCCTTAAACTCTTGCCTAATCTCAATGAGTCTGGTTTTTTAAAGAAGTTATTGGGACTTACCAGCGGATCCACCGGCAGTAATCTGATGAGAAGCTTCCCGGAGCATGCTCTGTGGCTTTTTGGTTGTCATTTTTTTTTAAGCTTAACTCCCACTAAAACCAAAACACACGTAAGAAAAAAACAAAATTATCTAACGTTAATTAACTGTGTCATAAAGTACAGTAAGCTCCAGCGCCGGTGAGCAGCCTACCTGTCCCCTTTCCCCACGGCTCTGCACGGAGGTGTTGTGTCTTCGTCCCTGCAGGCTTCAACGTAGCTTAGCTTAGCTTCAGAGCTCACAGCAGTAGTTCACTGTGGAGGAGCAGCAGCGATATCTCTCCGAGTGCTCACACAGCTAATATGGACTCAATTAGACTTCCAGCACCAAGCTCTCTCTGCTGGGTCACATTTACCCTCCCATTCCTGCACAGTGTTTGAATATTGTAAATAAAAACCAGATAAACCTTGACCCCCTTGCCAGTTAATGAGCACATGAAGGTGATTTACGTTTATAGTTCAGCTGGTTTACAGTGTTTATTATACATTTGGGCTTTAATTTGTGTACTATGTTTCATGTTACTACGGTAGGAACTAAAAATCCACTTAATAATAAGACATGAGCTCCCCTGAAAACATGATTTGTTACATTTTTTAGGAGGGAGGGCTCAAAAATATTGTCAATGCCTGCCTACTTCTAGTTTTCTGTATCTTTATCATCATGAATAATGTGTAAAATCAGGCTATTATTGATCTATGTGTGTTATTAGCTGATTTTTAAATACCAGATGTGCTGACATATACATGATTGCAGCTATGACATTTTCTTTGGAGCTGTAGCACAAAAAATAAAAGTGAGCTCAGTTACAGTTACATTATAGACACTGTACAGTATGTCAGTCCAAAATGAGGTAATCCTGCATAATAATAATAATACACTTTATTTATTCAACACTTTTCAAATAAAAGTTACAAAGTGCATTATATGGCAGGAACCGGAATTAGAAACATTTCAGGAAGCACAAAAAAAGAAGTCAGACAATTAAAATCAAGTAAGGTTGAATAATTTCCTCAGGCTTCAACAGGTTCAAGCATATTACACACTCTAATTCATCCGATAAACCTCGCTGTCTTTGTTTTATTTCAACATGATACTACACCCAAAATCTGTCTTTTGAGAATACAACACAAAAGTGTAGGTTCCCAACCTGGGGGGTCTGGACCCCGACTAGGGGTCACCAAAGCTTCAGAAGGGGTCACAAGGCTTTCTTGAGTTAAAGGGGTGTAAGAAGAATTTGCAGTTGGTTCATTTCTGTGTACAGAACTAAATTAATTTGTAAAATTTAGATTATTATTTAAGATCTTGACCTGAACAGAAGCTATTTCCACAGTGTCAGTGTGCTGCATTAGAAAAGTATAAAGTTAAAACAACTAAAGAGATAATAGCAAAAGGCCAAACATAAGATAGAATAAAACACTGAATTTGTCCTATTAAGTAGTTAAGATTTAAAAAAATAAAAATAAAATACAGACAGAATCGTATAAAAAGTTCAATAAAATATCAGGAAATCTCATTTTTGATGCAAAATGTATTAATCAGCTCATAATTAACTCAAATCACTCATTTTACAAAAACATCCTGCAGTAATTGTGTTCACTATTTGGGGTTAATTCCAGTTCATCAGTTGTTCTGCACTGTTACCCATAAACTTAGTGAGGGGGGTCATCCATTTACTCAATGAAACATGTGTAAATGTGTATATGTGTACATATGTAATGTTTGCTGTAGTTTGCATGTCTAAATCAAGGATTATCATTATTAGTTAATTGTTTAGTCCATAAAATGTACAAAAATAGTGAAAAATGGCCATCACAAGTTCCCAGAGCTCAAGGCAACATTGTGTTTTGTTTGATTAACAGTTAAAAACCTGAAGACATCCAGTTGACAATCATACAACAGAGAGAAGAGCAGCAAGTTTTCTTTTTTGAGATGGTTGAACCAGCAAATGTTTGGAATTTTTAAAATGACTTAAATAATAATGAACTAAAAATGGCCCCCACAGGTTGACGGTCCCCACCTCTCTCACAGCTTACATAATGTGAATCTCCTGTTTTAAAGTGCTTTTAGATTCCTGCTCCTTTAGTGGTGAAATGTGTACAATCAGAGAGGTGTAACGTAGAAATGTCACAGGCTCAACAGTTTCATCCACCCTACTCTTCACATACCAAACGTGTAACGTAAAAGTGATGTTTTTTGTAGTTTTTTTTCTACTTGTTTACAGTCGACATGCAGTTGAAATACCGTATCACAACAGGAAGTAAAATGAGCAGTTAATGGGATCATTAAAGGGGTCACTTTACCTACAATAAAAACATTACAAGGCTAATTTTATGTGAGCAGGTAAGAGCTTTAAAATGTTCAAGTTTGGTTCATCAGAGAACTTGTGATGAAGAACTGTTAATCTAGTAATTGTATAATTGTTCTCCAGCTCTAGATAGAAAGTAACAAATACTAGTACGTAGTAGTAAGTACTCAAATACTGTACTTGAGTAGAAACAAAACTGATATGTTTGTATTTAACTTGAGTATTTTATTCTTTATGCTCCTATTCCACTACAAATTGTACTTTTAACTCCACTATAGTTACTTTTCATATAAAAAAAATTGATAAGCTTATATAATATGATGCAGTACTCTACTATCAGAAGATTTTTATGATTTAAATTAAACTTTAAAGTATGCACATACATCCCTCTATATACAAAGACACAGTCAGTCAGTTAAAGACTCAAGCTTTTACAGAAAAGGGTAACAAAGTGGCCATCTATCCAACAACACTGGAATATTTTACTTTAAATTCAATTTGATTTAAATGCTTATAAAGCACACGAGCCGCACTGCGCCATGGAAAATTAGAGAAGTTATTTTCTTTTTTGATGAGCATTGAAGGCATGCAGAAATTCAGCAGTGAGCCCTATAACGAGCATTTTCAGCGTTTTTCTTGTACAACAGCAAGCTATGGAACAACAAGAGCTTCAGACAAGCTATAAAAACGTGGGATTTACAGCATATATTTGGCAGGAAAATGCCATTACCACTTTGACCCCCTTGGATAAGAAAAAGCAGAACAGCTTCCACCCCTACAACCTCAACTCCAGTAAAACATGCAGACTGGGCCGGCTGTGTACAACCAGCACAGAGGGTGAGTATGTAGTTTATGGATGTGTTGAATGAGTGAAGACGTTTTTTAGCAATATGGTGTGTAGAAACAGTGTTCTTATTTTTCCAAGAGGAGCTTTGAGTAAAAATGAGAATTTTGTTAGTGTTGTATGAACCCTGTGTTTCCTGAATAGATTACTGGCAAAACATGTTTAGTAAGAGAGAGCCAATGAAAGTGTTTGTTAAACGAAAGTTTTTAAGCACTATAAAAAATGTTGCTTACCCCTGAAAATAAAGAGTCATAACACCAAAATCATCTGGGTTTTTCATGAGAATTATACATGCTAAATAAATACTTACAGTAGGGACCCCCAACTGCCGGCCTGGGGGCCAATTTTTGGCCCCCCATCCATCCATCCATCCAACCTCCCTCCGGTTCGCGACATGATGTCAAAACATCATATAATACTGCCCACAAGATTATTCATAGTATTTTTTTTCTAGTTGTTTCATATAAATTTAAACAACCCCCTCATATACTATTAAAATATCATTATTATTATTATATATTATATAATATCATATATTAATCAGTGAGTATTCAGGTCCTTTATTTAAGTAATACCACACTATATTAACACTCCATTACAAGTAAAATTCCTGCAGTAAAAAGTACATTATTAGTAACTTTAAGTATTTAGTTTAAGTCATTATACTGCTGTGTAAAACAACAGCTCTCCTTGATACTAAAAACATTATAAAAAAGAACAATATACATTTAAAAATGTAAAATTTGTAAAATAAAAGTACTCATAATGTAGTTTTCTGTCAGAGTGGTCTATTGGACAGTTAACTGAGTTAATGAGGAAACTTTATAAACTTTCAATACCCGATGAGGTGTCCATTATCAGGTTTAATGGATGGGGAGGAGGCCAGAACCGTCCAACACAACAGTGAAATGCAACTGATTACACTGAACAAGAATGTGATTATTTAATATGTAATTTGGCATTAATTGTTAAATTGTGACATATAGATTTAATAATTGGAAAGACTGATAAATACCATATTAATTGTATTATATTAAACTGTTTGAGGTGAAGCTAGCTCTTTACTAATGTGTCGTTAAATCTATCAAATCATATTTTTAGAATAAAAACATATGTATTAGTTACTTTACACCACTTTAAGGTATTAAAAACATAGATTAGGTGTGCCCGGTTAGTTCACCTGGTAGAGCTGGCAACCATGTACCGAGTTGCTGCAGCAGCCCAGGGTTCGAATCCGACCTTTCGGCCCTTTGCTGCATGTCATTCCCTCTCTCTGCCCCCCTTTCCTGTCTATCTTCAGCTGTTACTATCAATAAAAGGCCAACAACAACAAAAAAACATAGATTAAATTAAAATACACGGAAAAGTCAGTGACAGAATTGTTGTACCATTTATTTCATTAGCGCACACACACATACAGGCAACATAAAGACATAATCTTTCAAACATCTGTAACACATTCTAATACAGTAACCAAACATACTCTGCTCTTAAATTACTCTGCTACATAAACCAAACTAAGTCTTCCAATATAAATGTGACAGTTGACAGTGGAAAATATTACCCTTTTAAACAAAAGCCAAAAAAAAAATGTTGGAAATAAAATAAATAACTAAATATGGACACGAGCAAGACAGTGGTTTGATCCAAAACAGTTCAAGTCATTAAAATATTTTGGTAGCTCTTAAATTTGTCCTCTCTTCTGTTTGTTGATTATTAAAACACTCAGCGACCTGATTATGTTATCAGAGGACCATTAGAAATATCACAGATGCATTATAGATAAAGTATATCACTGTTGTACCTTTTATATCCCAGCCTTCCTATTGAGTACCTCAATAATATTACATGTTTACATTACATTACATTAGTAGCAGATCTGGGCCAAATCGCCTGCTTTATGCTAGATAAGTGAGCTAAATACTAACATCCCATTAAAAACAATAGTAAAGGATTACAAAAGGTTTCTTACATTTCTTTGGGGAAAAGCTGTCCTACCTATTTTATAAGGAAAAGCTAATTATATTAGTGTAGAGTTGAAAGAAATAGTCGATTAATTGATTAGTCTACTAATTGTGATGATGAATTCATCATTTAAGTCATTTTTAAGCAAAAAAACACAGCATCTCAAATGTGTATTTACTCTCTTGTTGAATTTTTTATGACATTAAACTTAATATCTTTGGATTTTGGACTGTTGTCAATATGTCAATGTCACTTTTGTTTCTGTTTTCTTACATTTTACGGACAATTAATTGAAAAGAAACAATCATTAGATTGATCTACAATGAAAATAATTGTTTGTTGCAGCTCTAAATTAGAGTGATATCAGGAGTGGATTATATCAAATTAAGATACTATGAAACTGAAGTATCACATGCCATGTCAGTCCCTTTCTAATTGCACAGTACCTCATAAATGAATTCAAACTACGGTTCTTTGTCAAGTACGAGTGATAATTCATAGTAAATACACAGTGACACGTAACGCTGTATTCCAGTCAACCCAGCTCTCAAAAAGGCAACAGCTTTGTTTTTTTTTTTATGAAAGAAAGGAGTCTGAGGTCTGAAAGACTGGAAAACATGAAGGTCAGTATAAAGGAAAAAAACCTGAGCAGCGACCGAAAAATCACGCTGCAGGTGGAAATGTGACGAGTGGCGACAAATCCTCAGATAACTACTGTATTATAAACGTCCAATTTTACCAAGGAATTAGAACATCTTAAATCTAAATAAAGTAGAGTTGAAACACTCTTTTGTTGTAGAAATAAATAGTCTGAGACGACTGATCCTGACATTTCTAAACCTAAATCTTTTTTTCTTCTAAAAAACCATATATAATATATATGTAATAATCTCCTAGTACCAGTTGTGTAAAAATGTAAAAACCCAGACATGCAACCCAACACACTCCATATGAATGCGGACTAAAGGTGACTTTTGCCATCAGGCCTCCCCGTAGTTAAACAGTCTTTGTTGTTCTTGTTGCTTGCACAATTCACAGTAGTGTGGGGCCCTTGGTGGTGTAGTTCATTGCGGGGAAGTGCCTGCTGTCTACGTCCCAGTGGCCGAGGGGCTGGTGTGAGGCAGGCGGGAGGCTGGGGTTCCAGTGGTTCATGTAGCTGGCCATGAGCAGAGTCAGCTCCAGTATCTGGGACAAGGGGCAAAAACCGGTCAGATCAGAGCGGGATTAATGGCTTTAACATGATGATATGATTGTGTTTCATTTGATTCGGGGGAGCTGGAGGCCCACGGCGGCTCACAGAAGATGTGAAAACCTGAAAGCTGATCGGCAAACAAGAATGAAGTTACTCTCATTAGCGTCACCCACAGTAGTAATATGACTCTGTGTTAAAGCTCCACTGAGATTTGGCACATAAAATAAGAGAAACAACCTGTTTTCTTCATTAGCTCTCGGTTGTGATGTTACGTAAAAACAGGTGAATATGAAAAAGTCAAGGCTCAAGATTCCCTCCCTCATCTTCAGAGCTCCTTTATTGTACTTCAACACCTTGAACAGTCAATCCGCGTACCCCGTAGTAACTGCAACCCTTGGTTACAAGTATCCTACGACACATGACAACCTTGCATGTGGACGCAAAGCAGAAAATTGGAAATCCACATTTGTGCAGATGCACTCATGACATTTACCTTTGGTTTAGCCATCGCAAAGACTAGCTTCTCCGCACTCTTCTTCCCGACTCCGGGTTCCCTCTGCTGACTCGTGACCACCATGAAATCATCACGGCAACCACCAAAGGTAATCACAGACTGGTATGGGTGTGTGACCAGTGTGTGCTGAAAAACGAGAGCAGAGAAAGAAATGTGCAGTGAAACGGATATAAACAGGGAACATGTTCAGGTTTTACTGCTGATCCCAAAATAGAGCGTGGAATTCATTTGGGAAATCATTTTGGTTTCTGCTTTTGTGAAGGGCAAATTGAGTGTGAAGAAGCATGACATAATTTCCAGCAACTTCTAGTCATTTTCACTTTGTTTTTTTCCTCTCTGACTTTCTAAAAGTGCATGAGCGGCGCTGGCCGCCAGACCAAGAATGAAATGGATCAACATGGGCTGCTGAAAATTACAGAGCTCGAGCTAACATCGTTTACATGTTGGAACTGCTGCCTGTCAGGGTCAAGAATGTCAAATCAGAGGCTGGCCGTTTTATTTTCCTGTGGATTTCTGCTGTTTGAAATACCGCAGAATAAAAATCATTCCGGATCAGTGGGCGACAGAGCAATGCAGCGGTGACCCAGCCAGCTGAGCACTGCAGCTGTAAAAAGGGATCTCACTATTTGAGCTTTAGACTGAAGCAATGGGAAATGTAAGAAAAAGCTGTATTTCACTACAATAAACATGCGGTCACTCAGTTACACTGGATGGTATGTTGGGTCATAGAATGTTCGGGTCACATTCACTTTTATTTTTCACAATTAAATTTAATTCAAAAATGTTTTAAACTCACCATTGTATAGTCTAGCACACACAATCCATCTTCATTGACTGCCAACCACACCTGGCTCTGCTCAACAGGAGAGGGCTGGACAGGCTGTGGACAAGGGAGACAAAGACAGGTCATATTACAGATGTAATCCATCCTGGTAAACATCACAGCTTCCTCTCTGGGTTTTCTTCGTGGTCTCAGACTGGCCCAACCTGTGCTTGAAAACTTGATGGATAGCTGTGTTAGGATTCAAGCCAAATGAAAAGTGTATTTTTACTTTGGATGAAAGGTTTGTATCAAGAGAGCATGCTTGTTTCAATAAAACTTCAAAGCATGGACTGAATATAACACACGAGAGCCTACATTAGGTCAGAGTGCAACATTTTTCTTACCTTGGCACTGAAGAGTTTGGCTCCAAACAGGGGCCATTTCCGAGCCACAGTCAGGTAAATTCTCACACACTCAGGTGCACTGCACCCACGTAGCATAGACCACTTAGTGGCCAGACGCTCAGTAAGATCTCTGAAAGGAGAGAAAAGGAACATTGGTTAAAGTTTAAATCTCATCTGTAGCAGATCACGAGAACAAGCACACCAAGAACATCCCGCAGTATTTGTGTCTGATCTGGCCTTTCCCAACAGGACAATGTCAAGGACCTATTGCAGAATACGTCAAATAAATCTGTTGATTCTTATTTGGGCAACAGCGGTGTTTGTTTTACCTGAGCTGCTCTGAGCTGCAGTCCTGTTTGTAGCGTTTGGGGTAGAAGCGCTCCAAGGCCTGCAGGAGGATCAGCTGAGACTTAGGCTGAGGAGAGCCGGTAGGAGAGGAGGCAGCTGGTCTTTCCAAATCACCATGTTCAACCTGGAAGGACAAAAAAGAAAGAGGAGAGAGGGTTAGAAAGAGAAAGATTTGAAAACATGACAACAGGTTTGATTTCAGTTTATATTGCATCTTTACAGACCTGTGCCATGAGGGCTGCCACCTCAAGAGCCAGCTCTTTGTTCACAGGGAAGTGGCCTTGTTGAACTTCATCATTCACCTGGTACGCCAGCAGGAGGCGCTCCCGCTCCGTCTCACCTTTCACCTGAGATCTGAAACACAACCTGTACATGCACAAATGAAGAAAAGATTATCACGAAACTTGTTTTCCAGGAAAAAGGCTGCAATTATGCACACTTCACTTCATTTCCTAGATGTAGGAAATTTAACCCCCAACACTTTAAAATTCCTGTGAAAAGTGAGAACAGCAGAACACATATCACATCACCGTGTTTTATTGTGTGGTCTGTGTTCTCTTAAGACCTCTTTGGACAAATGGTTGTGAGTACATAATAGAAGATGCAAGTGAGATTAACCCTGTTTGGGTCTTTCACAGCGCAGATGTGGCAATAGAAATCCTACCTGCTCTTGTACGTTAGGCGGACAATCCGTGTCCCCTCATTTTTCCCAGGATGCAGCTCTTTTAGGGCCTGCTCCCACTTGGAAATTACATCACAGATCTGCCAAAAGGGAATACAAAGTCAGTCTCCAGTCAGACATATGGAAGCTTTTACCTTGTTTCTGCTTCTGCCAGCAGGAGGCAGTAGCTACAGCAAGGGACAAAGACTGTATGAGGCAGAGTTAGAAATGTATTTTTTTCACTGTCTCTGGTGGGCTGGTTAAACATAATGGAGCAGTTTCAGTAACCAAAATGAAAATTAAGTGGAAGCACCGCTTTTATCATGATTGAATGGAATTAAATTACAGAGGAAGGCTATGGTATGCTGGAATAGGAATACATTTCAAAAGAGAGTCACAAAAAAGTTTGGACAGCCTTTATTTGTGAAAATAGTATTTTACTACCCATTACTGATCCTCTAAAATGTTAGGTAACATGAGACAGAATATTTGAATAAATGCACCACAAAAGCCTCAGTGGTGTGTAGAGGGTTTCTTCCATGCACTTATGTTCAGTGACCCATGCTCTTACCTTGGCAGACGGCTGCAGGCAGTGCTCCAGGTCTTTGCCGGATGGATCATCAGTAAAGAGGGCAAACCCCGACAGCTGAGGCTTCCTCACGCAGATCCTCTGGTTCAGCGTGTTGAGGAACTCTTCCACTGTGGTGGAGCCGTCGAAGCCCACAACCTGCGAGAGAAAACAAATGAGACACATCTTAGTCTCATTGATGAGGGCAATAAGTGGGTAATAAATGCCCTGAACTTGCATTGAACCTGAGATGCTGACTGCACTGCTCAGCAGCACTTTAGGATGGCTACCGTTCCAATTGTTGAGTATTTTTAACAAACAGATGGACTGTGACGGTTGTGACTAATTTCCCCTTGTATGCTGTGTTTATGTTAAATCAAATTTCCCTTCGAGGGACAATAAAGACCTGAGCCTAAACTAAACTAAGAAGCACCAGAAACAGGTTCCAGTCCAAATGGTGCCACCTATTGGCAATAAAAGTAAAAGCAGCAGCAGGTTAGAACTGCATATGTAAGTGGCAGTTAAGACCGAACACTTCACAGTGGTTATGAGACTGGTAATGATTTTATTGTCTGTCATGCTGATATCAAAGTGAAATTAATAAAGTAATCTTCCAAACACTAAACTTTATTGTATACCTCTTAGAAAAAATACTGAGGTGCCTTTAAAATACTACAAAGGCAAGATTATAAGGAAGACAGAGCTTGAGTAAGGATTGTATTTGCATTTAAAGACAGTGACAGTGTATTCTACCTTTGTGACTGTGTTACCTGGTAGGTGTTGTTCATGAAGTGGACTGGGATGCTGAATGGCAGTGAATGGTGGTAGGGGTTCCTCAGCAGGATGGAGACGATCTCCATACGTGAGGGTTTGGCCTCTCGCTCTCCATTCTGCAGAGTTCGCTCCACAGACCTCTGACAGTACACTGCATACTTCCCCACCTCACTCCTGTGAAATAAAGGGATAGAGATGTAAACAGTGTACTAAAAACTGCCTCAGAACTGGTTTAAGTTACTTTAGAGGTTTTGGCGCCTCACCTTGGGTCAGCATTGTGTTGCAGGTACTGTCTCAGGTACCAGAGGAAATGTTGTTGAGGAAGGAACAGTGCCACACACAGAGACAACAGCTGCCAGCACTACAGGAAGAGGTGATCAAAGGAGAAATCTTATATTACAGGATCACTGCAGCAAAACTCTACAACTACCCTGCTTTTCTCTCATGTAATTTGTAACTGACTGAACCCGGCTGACCTGTGTGAGGGAGTAGTTGTGCGGCGTCCGGCGGTTAGTCTGCTTGATAAGCTGACAGTACATTTCATTCTGCAGCTCCGGGTGGGTGAGGCACACTTGCAAAGCATTCTGGGCCAGCGAGGTGTGGTAATCAACAGACGGAGACTCCACCAGCACGTTGATGAAGAGCTGACAGGACTGCAGAGCAGGGACGACTTATTAAGTATTTTAAATCTGATACTGACATACCGCTGCACTACCAGCAGGTGGAGGCAAATACTAACTAGAGACTCCAAATTTACTAGAAGCAGCATATTTTTAATGCATCTTAACAGAGCCTAAAGTAATAAAACTCCAGGTGAGGATAATATTCAGGGCAGAAGAAATAAAATAAAATAAAAAAAACAACAGAAATACACGGCATGAGATCACTAAGAGTCCATATGTGCATGTCATTATTTCTCTGAAGGGACCTTTGTTCTCATCCACTGGGACAGTTGAAGACAAAGCACCAATTTAACAGTTTTCATCAGTCTTGTCAGATTCATTAATACTTCAAAGGCATGAAGTAGAGCTTGAAAAAGCGTGTCACTTCCATTCATTCTGTTTCTTTGTGTGTGTTTGGGACTGTTTTTTAAGGCTGGCTGGTCAAAGAGAGCCGACACATTCAACTTTCAGTCCTGCAGTGTAGTGACTGTAGTGGATGGGGCTGTGAAGCATGAGTTGAGCAGGGGAGTGGGGGCTTCTGGGTGGGCACACCGAGGCAGAGTTGAAAAGAGAGGAAAAGGATCTGCCATCCTCCTACAAGGTCCATGTTCAGCTCTGATCCCATTTCTCCTCCCCCATTCTGTGGCTTCCATATCCATTGCTGCCACTCTCTGAAGGCCCTGACCTCCAATGTCTCCTCTTTAAAGGGTCTCCTTTCACACTGGCTGTAAACCAGAGGAACGGTTAGCCTCAATCAGAGCAGATAATCAAGGCCATTATCTCTCTTCCACACTTTTAATGAGCTGGGGCCCTCGTCCTCGAGCCTTTGATCTGGTTTAGAGGCATGATGGAAGAGAAGAGGAGGGCCACGGAGCACATCCAGGAATAGGAGGGGATAATGGGGGCTATGGTTTGGACAAACTGGAGTGGGATGGATGATGCCTTGAACAGACCCTCGCAGTGAGGGCCGGACAGAAAAAGAAAGAGGGAATCAGATGAAAGGGATGAAAGGAAGATGGGAAAAGTTTAGCAGAGTAGAACAAAGGAGAAGGAAAGAGAGAGAGAGACGGAAAGAGGGGTGAGAGGTGGAGAGACTGACCTTGAAAAGCTTGAGAGCTTCTGTCTGCAGAGCTTCAGAGGGCAGAGTGGTGAGAGGCGAGCGCAGACCCTCCTTACAGAAGCTCAAGGCTTCGCTCTTCCACAAGACAGATTCTGGGAAAAGTCGGAGAAGCGCGTGCACACACACACACACACACAAACCCACGCAAACATAAAGATTGAGTTTCAAAGCTGTAATGACTCAACAGCTGACAAGAATTCACACACAGTGCCCCGGTCGTAAACACAGTCTGCAGTGTGGATTAAGGCTGTCAGACATTGCGGATCAAAATAACATGTAGCATGCTACTGAGTAAATTAAGCCTTTCAGTTGATTATGCGTCCCTTTAGTGTGGCAGAGCCTTTCCAGTGAGCAAATATGCACAGTGGCGGCACCCTGACTCTGTTTGACCTGACTGGAATGGAGCCTTAATTAGTATCATTATTAAAACCTGTGTTTATTATTTCATGTCAAAATGGCTGCTGTGAAAAGGATCTGTTGTCCTGGATTTGAATAATAATTACCAATAACTAACATGGCAACACCATCCTGCAAGACTTTTTGGACAGCGTGATGCAAAAAATGTTGTAACTTTATAGGACAGTTCAGTGTACAAAGTAAAATTTTAACCTCTTTTAATAAACCTAGATTGAATAAACTCCACAGATGACTGCTGCAGTTAATACTGATGCTTTTCTCACCTGGGTCTCCTTCTGCATCGAGCAGTTTACCAACGAGCTGCTCGTACTCTGTGCCCACTTTGAAGGTCGCACTGCTGCCCGCTGCCACAGTCAGGTGATACAACCATGTATCCTTTGTAGAAACAAAGTAATTCATGTACAACACAGAAATAAACGAACAAATCTTGAATGAGAAATTGCAGTTTTATCCGTTCCAGTACCTTCTCCTGCTTGGTGCCGATGAGCAGGTACGTAGGACTCTGGTCTCTTGGTTGGACCACTAAGGTGCAGTGGGAGGAGAGGAAACCTCGACTGCCTGTCTCATAGTCCTCATCTGAGTCACAGGAGCGATCCACTTCCTGTACAGAGGCCTCCCGCATCTGCAGCTGCCCTAGAGGCAACTAAGACAACGAATCAAAGTCAGTAAACAAGGTATCAAACAGAACATGGTGGTCAATACGGATAAATGTCAGTGTGTTTAACTAAAGAAACATACTAAATTGACATAATTACACCTTCTTTTTCTTGTCTAAGCAATAGTTGAAAGCACCTATCCTTTATTTGTCAAAAGCCTATTATTCTGGACAGATTAAGACAACCACTAAGAAGCATGTATTTGCAAAACCTTTCTGAAGCAGGTGTAAATAATCACTAACAAAAGACTAAATTATAAGCAGACGAATGTTAGGAGAAGGGAGAGACAAGTTTTTTTAACCTTGTCTTCTTGATTACGATAGTAGTAGAAGACTTTTCCAACCAAAGCGCACCACACCAGTTTAGAGTGTCCATGTTTGACCTGAAACAAAAAAAGACAATGACATGGAAAGTATGAGAAAAGTCAGACGGTCCCAGGCGCTTTTTCAAAACGGTAGTAAATATAAGACTGCACATTTTCTTCTTTGAAAGTCAGACCAAAAAAAGTTTTCAAAAGCTTGACAGATGTTAGTCAGGGAATTTCTACATCTGACCAGCAGATGTCCCAGGAGTGTGCAGCTGGGTGTGTAAATCAATGAAGAGCAACTTCTGTGACTTAAATAACAGTTTAAGTTTAACTTTTTTTTTCCGTTTCCAAAGCAAAGTGACAACTGACTCCCCCCAAACATGTAAACAGTCCACCCCCGCTGTGATTCCCCAGCCGCATCCAACTTCATTTTAACCAGGAATGCTGCTGCAGATGATAATTACACATCACATTCTGCAACAGACTTTTAAAAAATTATGAATGGAGTGATGATGTCACTTGAGGATGCCATCAACACAAAGCCAGCTGTGCATCCCTCAGAAGGGGGTCACCGGGGTTAACTGCGCTGGGAGGCAAAACAGCCCCCCGTCTGAACCGAGATCACTTTATAACTAGAAGATCAAAGACAACTCTCAGGAGGGGATTGGGGGGTTTGGTGAGAGGACGCGGGCTCCATCATCTCAGCTTGAGGCTGTCAGTCACCTGTCAGAGACCCATCACACACGGCCGTCAGATGTTTAAGTGTCTTAGCTTTACCAACAGACAGGCCTCGGCTAAAGAAAGGCAGGGAAAAGAGCAGGGTGGAAGGGAAAGGAGATCTCAAGCATTCCAGCAGCTCAGGCTTTAAAGCCGTGTCCCAACGTGCTCTGTCAAACCCTCCCCACCCCAGTGACAGACACTTCTATATCGGTCTGAAAGAGCCTGAAAATTAGTTATTTCTGGCATCCTCTTCAGGGAGAAAGCCTGGCTAATCTATACCTCTTGCAACTCTGCAGTGGAAGTGGGGTAGGGAAGTAAGGATTTATAAAACATTTAGAATGACATGCCAGTTTAAAACCTAATATAACTGAATACATTATTTCAGTGAATACAAAAAGGTTTTGTATTAAGATGCTACGTAAACCTGAGCTGAAACAATCAGACATATAATCAATTAGTTGCAGAATAAAAACAAAATTGATAATCTATTAATCGTTTTTTAAGCAAAAATTACAAAAATCTACTTGTTCCAGCTTCTCAAATAAACTGAATATTTGCAGCCTTTTGTTAGTTGTTTAAGCAAATTAGCTTAGCTTAGCTTAGCATAGCATAATAACTGGAAATAGCTAGCAAAGGAATACAATCTGTGTAAAGGCATCTCTAAAGCTTGCTAGTTAACATGTAATATCTCGATTGTTACATCACATCAGCAAACACTTTACACATATCATGTGTTGATTTGTGAGCTTTAGGGGTGCTAGTAGACAGAATCTTTTAGTTTTGGACCGATCCAGCCAAACTGGTTTCCAGTCTTTATGCTAAGCTAACACAAGTGTCTCCTAGCAGTAGCTTCATATTTAGCTTACAGACATTGGAGTGGGATTGATCGTCTAACGCTGCACGATAAGCAAATGAGCAAAACCAAATTTGTCGGTTCTTTAACTGATATATCATGACTTCTGTCTCCTGACCTTTGTAAGCCAGCCTCTCACGGTGGGCTTGGCAGTGGTCTCCACGGTGACCGGGCTGCTGGCCTGGACTTTGAGTATGTTCTGCAGAACCCTGATCCACTCCTCCAGGATGTTGGGTGAATCGGCAGTCAGATAGAAGGTCTTCTTCTCTGTAATCAACTGATTAGACGGAAAGGGAGAAATATGGGAAAAATGCGAAGCCAAGCTGTCCGAGATAGCATCATCATGTCAGAGATCAGAATCAGCTCCTGAAGAGCCAGGAAAACATTCCAGGCCAACGCTATACCTGATGTCATTTTAAGCTGCTTCTCTCGTATGCAGCAGTAAAGCTACACAGTGATGCAGAGCTATAATAAGAGTGCTAGTGTGTGTGTGTGTGTGTGTGTGTGTGTGTGTGTGTAGCTGCATGTACCCTCTAACAACTGTCTCTATTTAAGGTTTCTATTTTTTCTTTCATGCCACAGTCTTTTGAATTGTAGATCTATAAAAATTGAACTACCATTTAATTTCTTTTTCTTTGCATAGCCAGTAGAAGTGTGCCACGTGAATCATACTTTCCTTGTCTTGCAGTATTCTCACACAAAGTTAAGCACTATTGGGATTTCAGTTTTCCACTTACCTGAAATGTCTGCGCTCCTTCTCCACGTACTATACGGCAGGACGAGTTCAGCTCAATCTGACCCTGAGGTTTCCTGATCACATCACTCTGAATACACAAAAAAAAACACACACATACCACAAAATCTTCATTTGTCTCCAAAATTAGGACTCTTAATGCCATCACAAATGGTGTTGTGGTTGTGTTGAGGTGTTAATACGGTAGTTGTGCCTCCAACTGCAGTCATCTTGGATGTAAGCACACCAAATTTTGAAATATTTGTGTAATGTTTTCTGTGCAGATAGTAAAACCTTAGAAGGAAGCAGGCAGGCGGGCTGACAGAGAGACACACTCACAGGAGATTTGTAGTAGAGGATCTCTCCGTTCCTCAGGATGAACCAGCGACGTTTCCAGGCTTTCACCTGACTGCCCATCTTCAGCAGGTACCCAGACTTCTCCAGCATCTCCTATAGACAGAAATGACTCAGCAATCATTGAAACACCACGGGACTCACTTTAATGATTTCTTTAGTGTTTGTCAGCCATCCTGACTGTAACATGGAGGAGGTGACAGCTCAAGGCCTCCACGATGAAAAGCAGGACTCCACTCACAGGCCCAGTGCTCTCACAGGAATAGGAGGAGGTTCGCTGGACTTTATGTTCCGGTTCGGAGTAGTCACTGTCCAGGGAGTAGGCGTCAGGAGGAATGGCATAATCACTCTCTGAGCTAATGGAGGACATGGACACACCTAAGAAAACAGGAGAAGGCATATACATGAGGCAAAGTGAGAAAGCCATACTTGAAGTGGTTGAAGGAAGTAGGAGATGCTCAAAGCATTCCAGCAGTTGTTTTGCACCGAGTTTAAGTGGTGAGTATCTGTAACCACTCAGTGTTGCATCATCTACTTCTACTTCAGTTAATGGCCTTAAATGTATCTTGGTACTTTCCGTACTTGCAATGCAGCTTCTTGCAACTACATACCATTCTGGTGAGCAGAAAAACCGCTACAGCTTTTGATTTTTATCATTTAGGCTGATATAACCCTGCATTTGAAACTCATAGATTATCTTAAATATACGTTGTCAACCATCTTAAAATAAGGCAGTTTTTCCTGGTTCCTAACTTGACATTTTGGAATGGTTTTCACTGTCCTGTCCTGTCTGCACTGTAATCTGCAATTATCACCTCTCTTGACGGCACGCGGGCTCCCAGGAACGCTGCTCTTCCTGTCGGGGCTCAAGATGGAGGTCCGTAAACTGGCCAGAGAGCTGCTGTCATCCTCAGACCCGGAGTCATCATCCGGAAGAGGTACGCTGCTGATCTGAGTGGCTTTCTAAAAGAAATAATGGAAAGAGAACTGTAAGGAAAAACACCGCCTAATGTAATTTCAGTACAGATGAAAACCTCTATCTTTACAACTCTAAAAGTAAAGCAGAGATTGGGCAGCAATGTAAATCTTCATGATAAAGATTGTTTCACTCACCCCTTTCAGTGTGGTATAGACTGGTACATTAATATTCTTATAGATTAACTGGGTGAACGGACCTGCCGCTGGATATTGGGGTAAGTTGGACCCTGCAACATACACAGGAAAACATTTATTCATAATTTATTTGATTTAACATGTTTTATGGATATGCACGTAGCACAGCATCTGTTGCTTAAAGTGAGACTACAGCAAAATGGTCAGAGCTAAAACACGGTGTAACATTAGAAAAGGAAGGGTCTGTTATTTCAGTAACACAGCAATATCTGTAAGACAGCTAACATTAGCCACCATAAGCTACTGGCCATGATCTTTAGCAGCAAAACCCCTGAGCCTGTTGAATTGAGCTGTGGTGCATTTTATTGCTTATGAATTTAGGTTTTAATTTGTAAAAGGAATATAGTTATTTCTTCTTTTATAGGTTGCATAGTCTTGCTCATCCATACATTGACCCTTATACAAATACAACTCAACAGGAGTTGTAGCAGTGTAGAAAATTTATCAATAACTCAAATCAGAAAAAGAAAAGTTGAACATAACTCCTATCACAATGCCCAATCTATCAATATTGTAATTATATATCTGTATATCTGTCGCACAGGGTGAAAAGATCTTTAATAATAATAATAATAATAAAGATATATAATTCATATATAATTTACAGATTTACAGCAGTGCTATTGCTTCCTTAATACCAATTGGTAAAAAGAAAAAAAGAAAAGTCTCGAGCTATACAACTGCTCCATTGTATTTTATGCCAAAGATTGAAACGTTCCAACAACAGATGCACCTTAAGGCACAAACATGAGAGGAAGCTGAATAAGCTGAGCAAGCTATGACTTAATCCACAACAGCCACTTGGCAGTCAGCTCCATGTACCTGGCAGTCAGGAAATTCAATAGTGCTGTCAAACCTCAACGTCTGCATCCTGACAAAATGGATGATGTCGGGACAGAAAGCACAGCAGTAATTACACCCAGACTTCGTCCTTTCATCGCAGCTGATTAAAAAGCAGCCTCTCCCTCAGCTCCTTGAAAAAATCCCACCCCCCACTCCAATGCTCTTCCTCAGCTCTTTTTGTCTCCAGAAGAGGAGCCCACACCTGTGCAGGTGTGTGGAGCCTCAGGCCAGAGGAAGTGACATCAAAGACGGCAATGACAGATCCAAACCAACCGCACAACTCCACGGCAGCTTAAGCATCAGCTGAATGACATGTCACTTCACAGCACTCACTCGTCTCTTACACCACCCAGGCTCATGACACACACGCAGACAGACAAGCACACACACAGGGTTAGATACTGATGTAGCAGAAAAGTGGGTGTTGAAGAAGGAGTGGATGGCTAGTTTCTTGTTTCTGGCTGCAGGGGACTCACCTCGTCCAGGGCCCCTGGCTCCAGGACTGGCCTCCGAAACTCTCATTCCTGACTTAGCCACAGCGTAGATCCGACTCTCCTGCAGAGATCAACATTCTTGAGAGAGGTCCTTGTGACCATAATGTCGACTTTTTAATAAATCAATGCAGAGGTAATAAGTGTGTGCAGGAATTTGCTTTTTTCTTTGGTAGCTTCATATTTATCATACAGTCATGACATCAGTATCAATCTTCTTATCTAACTCTCGGCAAGAAAGCAAATAAGCATATTTCCCAAAATATCAAAGTATTCCGTTAATCTCTAATGGTTTTTAAGAGTCCTGAGCCTTGGGCAAGGACTGAAACAAAAACCGATCCAATGGAATTGCTAACAGCATAAAATAATACAGGAAGCATGCAGAAGTTGAACTGGTAAGGTAGTGGTGTTTCATACCCATGAAGGGAAGCGGTGCAAAGGAGGCGTTGGTGGCTTCAGAACCTCTGGATCCAGCCGCTCCAGTTCTTCTGCAAGTCCCACGAAGGAGACTCCATCCCTGGATGGTTCCTCTGATCCCGACCCCTCCACCACCCCGTCCATGCTGTCAGGAAGCCCGTCGTCAATGTCTGTTTCTTCCACAACCTGCGAGAAGGGCAAGGTGCCTGTGCTCTTGAGGGTAGATGAAGTGGAGGATGGGGTCATGATGTCTATGTTAACGTTGAGGTGGTGAAGTCGGTCCAGGCTGGGCTGCGGCTGGCTGTAATGCTTCTTGACCAGCTGGATGCTGTCTCTGGGGGTGAGTGGTGTCCGTACTTTGGGTAACGTCATGCTTGTGCCTGACTGGTGAACCGGAGGATTCGGGAAGGGGTTGTTGGTCGAGGGGGAACGCGACAGGAGCGGGCTTTTGGGTGTTATTCTGATGGTTGACTCTGGGGAGCTCGGTCCATGGGCCATCTCGTAGGCTGAGGATGAAGATGAAGAGGAAGAGGACGAGTGAAGGCACTGAGAGCGAAACTTGCTGTTGAGCTCATCGGAGGAGTTGTCTCTGTCAGAGCACCCTGACGGGCCCTCTGGGCCCACTGGAAGCTCTGGTCCACTAATGGAAACAGGGCTGCTGGGACCCTCCCTGCTCCAACCCTGAGAGAGAGCATCATGGGCTGCAAGGTCTCCAAGACAAATCCCTTTACTGGACTGTTCAGGAGTCCTTTTCACATCTGAAGAGACAGATTAATAACATTGGAGAAAGCCTGCATACCATGGATGAACTGATGTTAAAGGAATACACAGAGATTGTGTATTTAATGATCTGGAGGAATTAGAATAAGAGCATGAAGAACATATGGATTAGCGGTAGGTTGAAAAGTTTACAGGCAATTTGATGTGTTTTGATTTTTTTTTGCTCCAATTTAAAGTGCAATCCTCCACAAAGGAGCTTTTAAATAGCCATCTTTAAGATGACAGTGAGTAAATATTTGCTACTCATAAAATAGATTTTTTTTTTTGGTGGAGTATTCCTTAAAGCAGAAGTCACAAATAATCACAAATATATTGAAAAATTGGATTATTTCCTCATTTTAAAATCACTACCATGACACATTGTTTCTGAGCAGTACATTTAATTTTCTAGCAAAATCTTGCCCACAGAAGAACTTAAATAAAAACAATGGCAAAACAAGAAAAGTAAAGTTATTAGTTACCATAAACAAACATAATAATTTCTTTAGGTATTTGAACACATGATACCCAACTCTAAACAAGAATGAGCAGAACCATGTTTTAGATATACTGTTTGCAGACTGGATTTTGGTGAGGCTACCAACAGTTATGTGATCAGCCAGACCTGAATTAAAGACATTCTCTTTACTTCAAAAGCTTCCATCCCAAGATAATATAAATTAAGGAAAGCATACCTGTTGGTGAGGTCTTGCTATTAGAGGAGGCTCCGCGGGGACCTGTCTGTCTCCAGCTGTCATCTTGGGCAGGTGGTGTGCCGGGGCAGCTGGGAGGAAATAGCGGACTGCTGGGCACCAGGTGGGTATCCATTACAGGGGAGGTGGCAGGGGATCCAGAGGATGCAGGTTTCTCTAAGAGAGCTGGAGCGGAAAGACAACACCAGTAACTCAGTCTCTTTCCCACGGGAGCTGTAGGAAGATATACAGTGCTGTTTATATATATATATATATAACAGATACATCAATTCCCTACTTGTCTACATGACCTTTTAATGTACTACTGCGAACAAAATACTGTTTTCCAATAACTGACAGGACAAATTTACATACAAATTGTGTGTATGCAAGAAATATTCATATACAGTGCACAAATTAAAAAAACAAAACCTGTTTTTCTGCACTGCCAACGCAGTAATTTGGTCAAAATCACCATATGGATGTGAAATTTCTGTGAAACCAGCTTTCTAATTTTGCAGTAACAACACAAACGAAGTCAAATTGCAGTAAGTGTTACCAAAGCAACAGCTCAAGGAAGACCGCTGTATCTAGTGAAAGCCTTTTTAGCCTTATCCAAAACTAAATTTACCTATTGGTTTCTAGCCATTTCTGTAATTTGAAAATATGCATTTTTATAAACTGACAGTTATTAAGGCAGCAGCTAAATCAGGTTAAACCAGCTTAACTCCTCAAATGGTTTGTTTTCATGTGATCAATGGTGGCTACCATTAAATCACACATTTAAATGTATTAAATTGTTACACATAGCACGTTTGTTGAAATGATGCCTAAAAAGACATAAAATGAAAGCATTACAACCTTAAACTTTTTTTGTATTCACCTTGTAGTTTGTCCTGCAGCAACATTATCTTCTCTGTCTGCTTCAGGTTGGCCATTTTCAGCTGCTGGTTCTCTTGCTCCATCTGCAACGAAGCACGTACATATCTTCAATCAGGTCATTTTTAAATACACCGCATCCCATTTAAACACACATGCTGGTGGAGGTTTTGTCCATGCAGTTTTGCTAATTTTTTTTTCTTTTTGTCTCTTGAGTAGGACAACCAGTGAATAATAGTGTATTGTTTGTTAATTGTAAGCAGAAATTACATGAACATGATGTTTGATTTGAGCTGACATGGAATTTTTTTGCCATTGTTGTCAGTAACTTAGAAGCTGGTTGTAACTGATTGTACTCTGCGCTCTCTGCCCTCGATCCACCCGTTTGTTTGTCTGTTTTTCTTGGTCCTGTTGTTTTTTTTGTTTTGTTTGTCATATGCATATAGTTATAAATGAAAGGGAAAGACATATATATCTTAAACAACAACTTTTAGCAACCATATACAACTGTTATAGTTTAACCTGATTGTAAAGCTGATGTGCAATGCCTCTTAAAACAACTTAGTTACAGAGATACATGGGTCATCATTTATATTTAAATTGCAGATAAGACTAAACTGGTCAAACATCTGTAGATAATACATTTTGAATCATAAGCATCTCTTGTTGCTACAGATAAGGTCTCTCAGCAGGGTGAGGGCTTTCCTAGAGGCTCTTACTTCAGTCAGAGGTCTATCTATACATACTTGAGCTTACCTCTCTAAGCTTAAAGGTGACCCAGTCTTTAATCTTGGCAGCCTTCTCCTCAATAATTTTTGCCTCCTGGGCTCTGACTAAGATCTGCAGTCAGAGAAAACAGGGTTTGTGGATTATTTCAAACTACATTTTATGAACATAAATGGACATTTCTGTTCTTTATCTGACGGGTCCGTCCATACCTGTTTTTCCAGCTGTATCTCTAATCTCTTTATCACAGCATCTTTTTCTTGAACCTGACTGGTGAGGTCTTGATACTTCCTGTACAACGAGCTCTCTGATTCGCTGGGTTGTATGTTTGCAGACTTCAGCTTTTCTTCCATGACATGGATCTGAAATGAATAATTAGAGGAGTGAACGTGTAAGCACGGCCAAAAGGCAGCTCAAATTTGCATGGTTTGTTTAGATTTGATGGGCACCATGCAAAGCCAAGAAGAAAACACTGTGGATACTTTTTGCCAGCTCTGAGGAGAAAAAGCTTTCTAAGCCCTTAGGTATTTCTTGTTTTTTAAAGAAAGGGCACCATTAAATTACCACCTACAGAAAACACCTGGAGCAGCCAGTAATGACAGCAAATCTGAGATTAAACACAACAGCAAGAGAGACAGAGTATGTGTCATATGTACAGTATGGGGTTTCTTATCCTCAAACCACACTCTCCTTTTGTTAAGTCCCATCAAAGCTTGACTCCTACTTAGTGGTTACGAGTCCAACAAAAAGCACAAAATCCAGCTGACTATGAGACTTTGCAGAGTCCAATTTTAGGATTTCTTCTTACATCGGTCAATGTTGAGCATGAAAGTTCATTCTTGATCTTGTAGTTTGACAGAAAAATCTTAATTCAAGGATCACTTACTAGCTTCTTCCAGAGCTTTCAACCGCAAATCACAACCTTTCTTAGCAGATGGATTTTCTCAGCGCATGAAGCTTTGCTCAAATACAAATCTAAAGACAGTGAGATGCAATTGAAAGCACCACAAAAGCAAGCAAGTTCAAGGACCAGTGTGTAACATTTATGAAGATCTATTGTCAGAAATATAATATAATATTCATAGGTATGTTTTCATTAGTGTATAATCACCTGAAAATAAGAATTGTTGTGTTTTTGTTACCTT